AAAAAAAGGGGGGGAAAAAAAAAAGAGAGGGGAGAAAAGGGCTCTGCACAATTGCCAGGGCCCTCTGGCGGCAATAGCGATGGTGTCTCTGGGCGGAAATTAAAAAAAAAATGCCTTGCAAAATGAAAAGTGCTCACTGGTGCCCTGCTGAGGTGGTTTTTTCCTCAAAATGTGGAAAAAAAGGATGGTTTGGGGGTTTGCCTGCCCCTCTGTGGGGCTGGGGATGTGCCCCCAGGAGACGTTTTCCTCATGGAGGGCTGCGGCGGCCATTGCTGCCGGCCAGAAGTGTGACCCCATAAATTTATTGGTGATAAACCCATTAGGGACCACTTTGGAGCCAAAACTCCTAAATTTGGAGCCGTAGGAGGGTGCTGGGGGATGTTATAGCAAGTGTGGACTGAGGGGACTGGGCTGCCGGTCTGCAGAAATCCTCCCATTGCGGCGGCCACCCCGATTCTTTCCGACAGGGAAGGGGTCTTGTTTTGGGGGGCAAAAGGGGGTTTACTGTCGGGGAGGGGGGTTGCCTGCATGTCGGGGATGTCGGGCCAGCAAGGAGTATGGCCCAAACGTGTTTAAGAGCCCCATGAGGAGCTTGGGGCTCACAGCGGCCTCAAAAATGGCCCCATTCCCCCCCTCCCCGGGCCACAGCGGCCCTTTTGGGGGGCTTTGGCCCCTGACAGGGCCCGTCGCCATGGCAACACCGGCTGGCTGCCCTCACCCAAGATGGACCCCATGGCTTCATCCCCCAGGGGCCATCTTGAGCACGGCCCTCCTGGTGGCAAGGGGAAGGCTGCGGCCATCTCGCCCCGCTTGCCCCGACTGCCCCACGCTGAGGAGGAGGCCGCAGCCATCTTCCCTCTAGCCCCGCCTGAGGGCGAGGCTGCCATTTTGGAAACGGGCAAGGGCCGCCATTTTGGAAATGGGCACGGGCCACCATTTTGGAAGTGGGCGCCTCCCCTCTGAGGTGCTCCGGGCACACAGGCAATTAAAAAAACAATTAATGTTTTTTCACCCCAATTCTGCCCTCCTCAACCCAATAGTAGTGTCTCCTGCAAATATTGTCTCCCCAAAGCAAATTTCACCAGAGACAGTGAGGAAAATTTAAAGAAAAGCGGAGAAATCATGGTGGTGTATCCTCCATCTGCCTCACGCTTCTCCCAGACCAAGAGGGACGCTCCTGGTAGGGATCATAAATCTTGGGAAGGACTATTGCATCGGTGCAGGGAGGTTTTGAGTTATTTTTCCCTGAATTGAGGTTCCTTGAGCTAATCTGTGACATTCACAGTGACATGGCGGAGAGGCTGACACAGCAGAGAGGCCGATACGGTGAAAACTACTCCCAAAAAAGTCTTCTTTTCCACCTTCATGCCAGAAACCCCCAGTTCAGTGACTACCACCCCCAAAAATGTTTGGTTTTTTTTAAGGAAAAACAGGTCCAGAGGAAGCTCCTCTAACTTCTTTTTTGGCAATATTTATTACTTTAAACTGGAAGACCCAGCTGCTGGGTGACAGGTGAGCAAGCCCAGGGCAAAAATGTGCCCCTTTCCACAAAAAGCACTAATTTTGAGGCAAAACAGGCTGCCTTGATGGTCTGCTGTGACCCAGGGCAGACCCAAATCCACCTGGCGTCTCCTTTAGTTAGCAAAAAAATGGTTTTAAAATGATAAAAAGCAAAGGCAGGCAAACCACCCACTGGCTGATAGCGCCATTAAGGATTAATTATGATCATGAAGCTGCAATTTAAACTAACTACATGCAGCAGGGGGTGTTGGGGTGGGTTTCGAGCTCCCACATCCACCCCCGGGGATGCTCCCTCTGCACCCTGGTGCCTTTGGCACCGCAACACCTTGCTGGCATTGGGGTGAATTAACCTGATTTAGGGACACCCCCAGAAATGCCCCTTCGCTCCGGCCTGGTGGTGAGAACCAGGGGGAAAAGCATGAAAAATGGGAGGATGTTTCAGCAGGGTAGAGGGATAATCACAACTGTTTAATTAAGAAAAATTAAAATCAGACTGCACCCTATAGGGACCGAGATGCATTCTCCCCCCACTCCAACAACCTATA